TAGAGTGCTGTAGTGTCACAGATCACAGCAACCTCAAACTCTTGGGCTTAAGCAATTTTCTGAAAGAGTCCTCAGCCTCCCAAGTAGCTGGGACTTCAGGAGCCCACCACAACGCATGGCTATTTTTTTGTTGTAGTCGTCATTGTTGTTTTAGCTGGCCTGGTTGGGGTTCGAACCCTCCAGTCTCTGTGTATGTGGCTACCCTACCCTACCCTACCCACTGAGCTACAGGCACTGCCTTAATTTTTCTATTTTTAGTAGAGAAAGGCCTCCCTCTTGCTCAGGATGGTCTCAAACTCCTGAGCTTTAGTGATCCTCCCAATTCAGCCTCCCAGAGTGCTAGGATTACAGGCATAAGCCACTTTATCTGGCCCTTTAAGCAAATAATTTTTTGAAATTAACACCAATTTCTTCAGTGGAGAACATACTAGCAAATGGAGGACTGAACATTTCAACTGCAAACTTCACATTCAAATTATTCATTAACCAGAATTCATTTTTAAAATAATTGTTTTCAACATAGGGAGATATAATACCAGCTTCAGAAGAAAAATGTAAACTACTAAGTGACTTTTCGGATTCCTAGATTAAATATATACTTTGAAAAGTTATTATGAATGTTAACTACTGCATCTATAAAAGTAGACAATTAAAATTAAAGCTCTTTACGGCATATGAAAATAAAAACCTTATAAGATGCTTCATAAAATCTAGTGTGGCTCCATCTATAAATTATTACATGTGTAGCAGTAAACTTCTAGACATATTTCTGAAAACTTTGGTACTTTGGTGGCTTCAGTATATATTTAACTTAGCCAAGGTCCATGGAGAACATAGAATCTCAAAATTAAAAATTATTAAAAACTACTTGATGTCTAAAATATCACAGGAAAGTCAATATAGAATATGAGATGTTGAAGGAGAAACTAAAACTAAGATGTGGAGAAATAAGCATTGAAACTGTTATGAAAACAAGATTGTATCCTATACAAATTGCAGTGTTTCTAATGCATATCTAATGTGCAGTATTTCTAATGTATATCTAATGTGCAGTATTTCTGATGTATATCTAATTTCTTTACTACCTTTAAAAATTAGTAACATCCTAATTTTTAAATTTTTTACTTGAGGAAATGGTGCTCTTTTTTTAAATAATTCAAATAAAGGTACCAAAGTGTAGTAGTGGTAGCAGCATAAGAACTGCTAAGCAATAGCAAAGAACTTTCTTAGTTGAGAGGAGAGACTTGTACAGAAGTAATGAGACAGCAGGAAAGATGAAGGGAGTCTGAGAATCTCTCTACCAGGTAATGATAATGACCGCAGTGAAAGGCCGGTTGTAGGACCAGGTCAGGAGAAGATAATGTATTAAAACACTGGCTTTAGTCATTGGCCAAGGGATGAAAAACACTAGTGAGAACTGCCAGTTCAAAATAAAGAAATACTGTTTATTTACTTTGTTATTGATTCGTAAGACATTTATTGAACACTTGAGATTTCTTACTCACCTCTGTATGCCAGGTATTATCTTAGGCATACAGAGGTGCATAAGAAATCTTGCTTTCTTTGATGGAGACAGATGGAAAATGACTCCTCGCAATACTAGGAAGTCAGTTCTCTAACATACTTCTGTTAAAACTGTAATTGTATCACACAGCAGGGACCACTAGTTATGACAAGTTTCAGAGAGGGAACTGAAAAGATGGGCAGATGCTGTGCACAAGGCCACCTGCCCATCATCCGTGTACTTGTTGGGTGTGAAGGCCCAAACTAACCATGTGGGGAAGCTAGTTACAAAGGCACATCAACTGTGAAGGCTTCACCTGCAAGTAACAAAAACTCAGACACAAATTTTTTTAAGTAATAAAGAAATATATTAACTAAGATAATTGATTTCTTTCACCTTTTTGCTCTGCTTTCCTCCATTTGGGCTCCATCTTAAGTTGGCAGCACAATGGACATAGCAGTTGTAAATACAGCAGGACCTCTGTAAGTTGACCACTCAAGGGACTGCCACAAACTGGTCAACATGAGGAACCAGGCCCACTGTACTGACACGTAAATGGTGCATGGTGTACACGGCTACATATGGCACATGTCCGGGCCCTGAAAATTAGGCCAATGTAAGGAGGTGGTCCCTGTAGGGAGGTGGTCAGCTATGGAGGTTCTACTAAATATAAGAAAGCAAAATGTACAGAGGAAGAAGAGAGACTGTCCTCCTTGGCTTTACCTTTTGTCTCTTCAGCTGGACCACGGGATTGATTTCAGAATGAATCTATGACAGGACCCTTAGAACAAGGATGGGAAACCTTGGTCCGAGTATCCCACTGGCCTACACGCATAACCACGTGTGCTTGCCATCCTTCCAGCAGAGCGTGCACACATGTCCAGAACTGGTAAAGCAAGCTCTCATAACTCGCTCTATGCATGCCCTGGATCATCACCTCTGAATACACCTTTGACTACTGAGCCACTTATTATGAGCACGGGTCTCAGCTTCCCGAAACTGCCTCTAGGGTTTTTGCTTACCCTTGTTTTGCTCTCCTGATATTTTAATAACTGTTCTACCTGTAAAGAAAGCACATTATGAATGTCTTCTTTATGCATTTTGATCAAAAACAGTTCTTTATCCCACTTATTACTTTGTGATGCCAAAATATCAATTGCTTGTTTTGTCCGCAAATAGGTGATTTGAATAAATATTTCTCTGAACTAAAGAAATAGTTCACATAAAGCAGATAAAAATATGAATCTTTTCTTTCAATCCCTGACCTCCTAGCTTTCCAGCATCTTAGAAACAACTAGAATCCAAAGTGTTGTTTAAACTCACAGCCTCTGACTCTAATCCTTCTTAGTACACTCAGTATCTGCAAAGTCCACTTTCGTTACCAGGGTTGCAGAAGCTGGTTGCAAAAGGAACTGCACAGACATTTAAACTATTTCCTGCCTTTGTCTTTTAGAATGCAGATGTCAAACATCATTGCTCTCCTTAAAACTTCTCATAATTTCTCCCCACAATTTTATTTTATTTTTTTTAATTCTGTGACTCATTCTTTATTTTCACATTCTAAAGATACTTTTCTTTTCTTTTTTTATTAAATCATAGCTGTGTACATAATGCAATCATGGGGTACAATGTGCTAGTGTTACACACAATCTGAAATGCCTTCACCAAACTGGTCAACATAGACTTCACAGCATTTTCTTAGTTATGGTGTTTTATATTTATATTTTACATCTAGTAAATTTCACATGTACCCTTGTAAGATGCACTGTAGGTGTAGTACCACCAACTACTCTCCCTCCACCCATCTTCCCTCCTCCCCTCTCCTCCCTCTCTCCTTTTTCTTGGGCTATAATTGGGCTATAGCTTTCATAAGAAAGCTATAAATTAGTTTCATAGTAGAACTGAGTACATTGGATACTTTTTTTTCCATTCTTGAGATACTTAGCTAAGAAAAATATGTTCCAGCTCCATCCATATAAACAGGTAAGAGGTAAAGTCTCCATCTTTCTTTAAGGCTGCATAATATTCTATGGTGTAAATATACCACAATTTATTGATCCATTCATGGGTTGATGGACACTTGAGCTTCTTTCATGACTTAGCAATTATGAATTGGGCAGCAATAAATATTCTGGTACATATATCTTTGTTATAATGTGATTTTTGTTCTTCCGGATATATACTTAGTACAGAAATTGTAGGAGCAAATGGCAGGTCTGTTTTTAGACCTCTAAGTGTTCTCCAAACATGTTTCCAAAAGGAATGTATTAGTTTGCATTCCCACCAGCAATGTAGAAGTGTTCCCTTTTCTCCACATCCATGCCAACAAAGAACAAGTGATCCCAACTCCTCACAATTTTAAATGGTATCTTTTAATATCAAGATTACTTCATAATCCTGAAAGATGAATTTCCCAGGCTTAAATCATGATCACATGTGATATGTGATTTAAATTATTTAAATCTTCCCAGTCCTCAATTAAATTACCCTTGATTAAAAACAATGACAATATTAATAATACCCTATACCTTCGTCTAAGCAATGATAGACATTAACTATTATCAGTCCATCAACCCTGCGAGGAAGGGAAGGGAAGATATTATTTTAGTGAAGAGGACATTCAGGCACTGTGACTCACCCAGACAGAAAGAAGCTGAGGTGGACCCAGCAAGGATGTCCTTGTGTTGAGTGAGAAAACGCCCTCACCCGGTGTTCATCACACATTCCTTGGCATGTTCCTTCAGGGTTGATTCAACATTCATTGTTCAAAAGGCTGTTCTCCATTGGAAACTGTCTCTGTTCTGCAAGCAATATTTATCAGATGACTCTTGGATATAAATTTCTTTGCTGGAAGCTATAAGTGTTGACCTGAACTTAACCTTACATATTAATTGTCTATTTCTTCATTTGGAGGTAAATGGAATGAGTCAGATGCTGGTGCCTCCATTCTTCTGTCCTGCTACGGCTGCCCATTGGCCATCTTGGAAGAGTCATGTGATGAAGGTGCTCTTTAAATTAAGCTACTACTAGCACGGGAATGCTTGCATTTCTTTGGTTTTCTGTTGTGAGTACCTGTTCTCTGCAAGATTTCCATGATGGTTGAACCCTTCTTGGGAACCTGGAAGCTGGTCTCCAGTGAAAACTTTGAGGAGTACCTGAAAGAACTAGGTGAGAAATACCATTCCAAAATTTGAAAACTATCAAAGCATTGTGTGATGTGATAGGGTTTACACTTTACAATGAATTTTCCTATGATCTCTCTTGTGTAATCCTACATGTAATCTTATGTTATCCTATGAGAATAACATAGTTTACTTTTGCTTTTTAAATTACTAGTACTTTCTCTTTTCTTTTCTTTTCTTTTTTTTTTTTCTTTTTTGCAGTTTTTGGCCAGGGCTGGGTTTGAACCTGCCACCTCCAGTATATGAGGCCAGCACCCTACTCCTTTGAGCCACAGGCGCCACTCCTAATTGTCTCTTTTTAGAAGATTGAACCCACTTCTTTTTAGTCATAACCCATATATTTATACTTTTTGAAAATACTTCATCTGAACTTCTAGTAGAGTTTCTCTTTAGCTTGGCTGTTTCACTGAATAGTTTTCTCCAGCTTGAAATTTATAGACAGTAATCACTATAATTAAGTGTATCAATTAGATTTGTTTCAAGGCTTGCTTGAAGATATAACTTAAAGAGAACAGTAGCAACAAACAATTTTTAGTTAGTTAATTTTTAGAGTTCTCATACATATGAAAGATATTTAAAAAACATTATTTTGAAGACTTTCACATTTTGGTGGGATGATGAGAACATTTACTCATTGATGTCTCACCATTGGTTATTACTCAGAAGTATAAACACTACCTGTTCTTCAGCGCTGACTCAAGTTGAATAGTTAAACATTAATTAAAATGACGTGGATGTATAACACATCTTTATTAACACTACAAAAAACAGTAATTATTTCATATGCTTAATATTTAATTAAGAGAAACATCACTTATAATAAAAAACTCTATACATAGCTAAAAGTTTTTCTTACTTTTTAAAATTTGACTACAACTATTGCTCACAACAATGAATTAATGTTTACTCCTTCTCAGCAACAACAGCAAAAAATAACAATGCTTTATCCCCCATGATAAGGAATCAATGCACTTATAAATGTAATATTTGTTGCTTTTTTGTAGTTGGTATTAACTTTCTTGGGGGCATACATGAAAGAAACAAGTTTTTCTCTCTCTTCATGGATTTATAGACTCACTTGTTTTGAATTAAAATTGAGGGGCAGGTAACAATCTAGGGACTCCCAGGCAGAATAGCATTTGTTTTGACTGGGAGCTGGGGTTAGGCATGGTACAAGAAGAGCTGAGGACCTACTATATGCCAGCACCATGCAAATTCCTTCCATTCAATCTCCCAGTATGTCTGTGAGGAAAGAACTATAGTTACCCTCAGAGAAGATACATAACAGGCCAGAGCTAGCAGGTGGCCAAGCTGGAGCCCGGGTTTTAACCAGCTCACTCTTCTCTGTGATCCACCTGTCTGCAGTGAGATGAGTCACAGCAGTGAGATAATCACAGCAGCTCCACAATCTGAAGGCATCAGCTCCTCTCCCCACCTACTGCAGAAGTCAAGTTTGACAATGGAAAATCCCCAGGCTGAACAGGACAGACTCTAAGCCCAACTGTCCCTGCACTGTTGTTCTAATACTATGTGAGATAAAGTGCAAGCATTCGATCACTTGAAAGGCCATATATATGTACATTTTAGATGAAGCACAATAGTCTCAGACAGTGAATTCAGTTTTTTCCAAATGTCAAATATAATTACTGGATATACCTTGTGATTAGGAGGATCTGGCTCAATCGGATACCACAGAGAACACAAAAGAAGTTACTTACTGTACATTATCCAAAACTTGAGTAGGGGAAGTATGGGTTCTTTGACAATTGTTTTTCAAAATTATTATTAATACTTCTTCTTAAATGCCTTATTAATAATAAGGTGTGCTGGCTTCCGTGCCTTACAGGAGTGGATGCTGCAACTAGGAAACTGGCCATGTCGATGAAACCAACCATCAAGATAAGTGTCAATGGGGAAACCGTGAATATCAAAATAGAAAGTTCTCTCAAAAACACTGAGATCTCCTTCAAGCCGGGGGAAGAATTTGATGAAACCACACCAGACAACCGGAAAGTGAAGGTCAGAACTGATTCTTCACGAAAAAGCTTGGTTGGGATTAGGCATGGTTTACTCATTGTGATTTGACTTATTACCAAGTCAGTCTCGGCTTGTTCTATTAATACCTGCCTGGTCTCTGAAGTAAATCCTTTTGCTAACTACCCTGATGGTTAACAACAGGGCTAAAAAACTCAAACTGTTTTCACTCCCCACTCCTTCTCTGTCATTGTATTTTAAAAAAGCACTTAGCAGAAACAATTAAGCACAAATAGCTTAGATGTTGTTAGTCTGGGAGAGAGCGCTAGTGGACTAATCTCTGGAGACTTCTTCTAGCTTGACAGTATTAAATTTTGGCAAGGACCAAAGTGAGGATTTTTAAAAAATTTCAAAACAGAAATTATAAAGTAGTTGCCTAGTCTTATGCGAGGTAGGATGTGGTGAATGGCTACTTCTCATTGATTCCTGTAATGCACTTACAGAGCACCATAACCCTAGACAATGGCACAATGATTCACGTCCAAAAATGGCTCGGCAAAGAGACAACAATCAAAAGAAAAATTGTAGATGGAAAAATGGTAATGGTAAGTTTTTTCGAAATTGAAATGTTTATATGCTCCTGTTTGCTACATGCCCTGATTGTCTTTGCACCCTGAATTGGAGATTTGGACGGGGAACAAAGAGGCAGGGCAAGTTTAGCCCGTGGTCTACCAGCTCTAATAGATCCCCTTTGTTTTTAGGAATGTACCATGAATAAGGTTGTCAGCACCAGAACCTATGAAAAAGTGTGAAGAAAAGGTCCACATCAGTGAAAACTTGTACTTGAAGAAGAAATGCCTCAGGGCCAGTGAGTGACTTTACCAACAAATGCAATCAGTGTAACCTGGTTCTCTGTACTTTCAATGAATCCTCAACAATTAAAAAAAAAAAAGGAAAAAAATCATGTGATCTGTGAACAGAAAAAAAAATCCATTATAAATTTGCTTATTAAAAGCATCAAGTCCAGTGTAGTTTTGGAGCTGTTTGATAATGAGGGTTAGGGAGAGTCTGATGAATTGGTGAGGTGAGAATTTACTAGCTTGTGGTGTGATTCTAGCAGCACCAAAAAAAGTTGCTCCTGTTCTCTGCCCATCTGACTTCCACAGTCCTTGAGCTCCTGTCAATGCATTAATTCCATTGAGGTTCAGAAATTCTATCAAAGTCATGTGAAGGTTCAGATGACCTCAAAGGAAGACATGTTGAAGATACATGCTATCATTGGAACCCAATTTGGGCAGCACAGATTTCAAAAGCCAACATTGCTTTACTGAAGTCTGCCCTGCTTAAAGCAGATGGGTAGGTTAAGTGACGATGATAATTATAGAGATAGATGATTGATCAATAGATAGATGGACAGATTGATGATAGATGGATAGATAGATGATAGATAGATAGATGATAGATGATAGATAGCACAAAATAGAGACTGGGTACTATACAGTATAGTTGAGCTGTTTTAACACAGAATTTAAATGGTAATTGCCTCACTTCCCATAAATCCATTTAAAATAATCAGGCTGGTGCAGCTGTCACCACTGTTTACAACTTAGCCTTTGCAGAATGACATTTTTTAAATGCCAGTCCTGAATTTCTAAATGCCTGGTAAGAATATAGTTGTTAAAGCTACACAAATGTCCTTAATAGTTTCACTAAATGCTGTTGATTGGAATCAATATGCTCAGGGATTACGGTAAAATAGAGTAATGGAGATAAAATGAAAAGGTAAAGCCTGAACAACTGAGAGTCCCTGTAGCACTGGAAAGACGAACAGAGAAAGCGGAAGAATAATGTAAATAATGATACTGTGTGTGTTATAGGGAAACATAGGTAGTAGTTGGTTAAATGTATATCCCCAGAATCATGTTTAATATGCACTAAAATAGAATCCCCCTGTAATTTTATAGCTGAGTCCCTTGAGATTTTAGTATCCCAGCACTTTTTTAGATGGCTAAAATCACATAAAATTTGACTAGGCCTTTATTTGTTGATGCACGTTAACTACTTGCTTCCTGCCCAACACCTCTTGTTCTCACAATAATTATTAATTGTTGTTATACTGTTTGTCAAGAGGCGACAACTCCAGGGTTGCAAGGAAAAGCTGTGAATTTATTTTACGGAAAGAATGAATGCCCTTAAAGGAGTTGCGGCTAGGACTGTACTTTCAGGGATCATTTCTATAGTTTGTTACTAGAGACATTTCTCTGAAGGTGTAGAAGAAAAAAACAAACAAGATGCAGCTAACTCCTGATGTCCGGAAGTCTGGCTACTCGAAGTGTTATCTGAGAAGAAAAGCAATCCTGACTTCCCCCTTCAGTTCCCTAAAATTCCACCCCCACCACCCCCTTATTCCCTAGCCACAGAAGAGCTCCCTGCTGCATTTCTTTGGGAAGATGAATCTGGGAAGATACTCTCCCAGCTTCTTGCTTTGGCCAAATCATATAAATCTCTCTCTCTATATAAGCACCAATGTCCCAGTCTGACTCCAGCAGCGCATCAGGTATACGGAGCCTAAATCAGGAGTTCCACAATAATTTGTCATCCAAACTCTGTGAGAAGTTAAAAGTGAAAAGGGGCACTATTGAGAATTACACCTGGACAGCAGATTAACAGGAACTGCTCTAGGAAAACAGGGGTTCTGGTCACCTAAATAAGGGTGAAATTGAAGGGTAATGAACAAAAGGACCAAAACCTGGGGTTGGGCCAAGGAACGGCCCTAGGGCTGTCACCCTGAATCCTGAAGACAGCTGGGCACTTAGCTGCATACCAGAAGTGACAGCATGGTGCTAGCCACACAGCTGACTCACACAGGCAGCTAGGCGGTATTAAATGATGACTAGAACCAAAGTGAGAAAGCGATTTTTGTGATGACCTGTCTTTCCCCTTTTTAAAGGGCTCAAGTGTATAAAATGCCAAAATGTAACCACGCTCGCACTACAGAAGTCAAGTTAAAATCATTTGTTTCGAACCTTCTGAATAGCATTTAATTTTCAAACTTCATGAACAAAAATGCAGTAAACATGAAGGGGCATGCTTTTCTCCACTGGCTATACAAAGTCAACTGACTATCCCAAAATTCGGTGAAACGTCTATCCCCCAAATTATATATACTCTTTTAATTTCTATCTTGAACATTTGGAGGAAAAATCTAGTCTATTCATTTTGGAGTTTGGTGTCCTGGCCACATGTCCTTTTTCCAGGAAGGAGGCCAGGGATCATCTAACCACCAGTCCCAATGACAGAATGGGACTTGTTGGTTACCCCAGAAACATATGCAGTGAAGAGGAATGGAGTTTGAGAACCCGTCAGAGCTGAACTTGAACCCTGCTTCTGCTATTGGCAGCCACGGGAGCACGTGTGAGCCACTTTACCACTTTAGACTTCTCTTTTGTAAAGTACAGACTTAATCTACTTCTCGGGCTTGAGGGGAGGATAAATGTAATCCCTCAGGTCTTCTCCTTTCCCCCACACCTCCTTCCCAGACTGCCAAGTAATCAGAACGCACAGAGTAGGAACAATGTAATTGGCGAGCTTGTGCCCTCCAATCCTGAGCAGAAAAAGCCAGAGCCGGGGGTGTCTCAGTAGAGGCAAGCTTAGAGCAGGCGCTGGAAGCAACTGATTAGAAATGGGCTTCATGGAAAATGAGCAGGGAACATGGATTCTGGTTTGCTTTGTAAAGCAGAGTTCGGATTTCAGTAGATGCTTATTAAAAATTACATCTTTCCATACAAAAATTACAAGGCAATTTCACACGGGTTATCTTTCTTGATCCTTAAAACAATATTTTACAAATGATAAAACGGCAACCCAAATGCCATGCATCTGGGAAGTGATAAAATTAGATGAGCACTTACTCCAAAGTCACTGTAGCATTCTATCTTTTTATTGTGAGAAATAATGTTCCATGAGTTGAATGCTAATGCCACAGCATGTTGCTGGGAAGCTGCTGGCCAGGCCCTGCGCCGTCCCTTCCAACCCCAGCCTTGTCACGGAGTCTATGACAACCTTTAGTGTTGAAATATCTACTGGAAGTGATATGCGCCACTTCCATCTCAAACCAACTTGTACCTGCCTGCTTGGAGGAGGGGAATCTGAAACCACAGGGGAGGGGTATAGGCACAAGATGAATGGATCCAAGGCCTCTGAGTCACCTCATGGAGACAAACTACCTATAGACCAGGAACCCCTACAATGGACTGGACATCTAGCAGGAAATAAGCCTCTGGGTTGAGCCACTGAGATCTTGCAATTTATTGCTGCAGCTAGTGTTATTCTGAGTCAATGTCAAGTTTAAGAGACTTGATTTTTACCTTCTGCCTCCAGTCATGAGCATGTTGTAAGCTAGAATTTAGCTTCAAAACTAGTTTTTAATTGTCTGAGGGCATAGGGATAGACTGGGATAAATAAAACACAATTTAATTGATTTTCAGATCTAACTTTACCTACTCTGACTCTCTATACATAAAACGGTCATATGCACATTACACTTTCTCCCCGAACCTTGATACCATCACAAACTCGTAAAAAAAATTGTTAAAACACAATCCAGGAAGTAAACAGGAAACAAATAGGCTGACTGGATAACAGGAGATTAGAAAGTCACCTGAGTTTTTTAGCTTATTTTGTTCTTAGAAAATCAAGCTAGACACAAAGACATTTTTCACTGTGTTTTGCAAGTAAATTATTTCCTAGGGGCTTTGTTTTTCCCATCAGCAATAGGGAGCAGATGGCCAAGTCCTAGGAAGTGTCTTGCACAACTCTTTGAGCTAATGCCTAAAAGTACAACCTATTGGGATGTATTTGGAAAGTGTTAATATCACTTTTCTCTCTAAGAGGAAATGCAAATTCAGTAGAACTGTGGAGAGCTCAGCGTGTGCTGTAATGACAAGACAAAGAAATTGAAATGCTGAAACCTTGTCTTTTATTCCCTCCCCAGGGAGTAACTTCAATTCTCAGGTGTTTTATTAGGAATAATGATGTGACATCTTAGACCAGCCTTGAAAAAGAGGCCACGTGTGTCAGATTTTAGCAAAAAAATAATGCTAATTGCATTGTTTAGAGAAATCACTGACATTTTTCCCACACACAAAAAGAAAAGCTATTAACTACATTTGGGGCACCAAGAATGCACTGTTGCCATAGTAACCAAAGGACCAACTATCCCTAGAGCTGAAAAAGTTACAAGAAATGGTTTGCGGAGTACACAGGTGGGTGGGGGGAGTGGAGAGAGGGAAGGAGGGAGGGGATGGGGTTCCCGGTGTTTGCACACCTCTTGAGGGAGGAACACATTTATAAGAGGGACTTTGCCTGACAAAGGCAATTAGCATAACCTGGTTCTTTGTACCCTCAATGAATCCCCCACAATAAAAAAAGTAAAATAAAAATAAAAAATAATATTTCTGTTATGATGTTCTCAGGTGGCATTTAAAAACCAAGATTTGGGGGAAGGTGAATTGTATGTATATTGAATTTCCTGACTGATTCTGGGCCTGAAATGATCATAAAAAAAATTTTTTTTTTGCAACATAAATAAGAATAAGTGATGCATTAAGAAAGCCATTTTAACCCTGGCATTGTTAAACTTGGGAAAAAACACTATGTGAAACATGGAAGGGGGATAGCAGTCCTGCAGTGCCATTGTCACCTGAATTCAAGTCGCTGCCTGGAAAGGATACCTGACGCCCTTGGGGCTGCCTTCTGTGGATGAACAAATCATCAGTCCACCGCAGTGTCTAAGAAATTTCATAAGGCATCTTCCCGTGTAGGAGGGGTCCGCTGGCTCTTTAATGACATTCTCAGTGTCTCCATCTGCACATTTGCAAAATATAATAACTGGATGTCGTGTGTCTCTGAATGTTTGTTCAACATGTATCTTCCTAACTAGAATAAAAGTCTTACGAACTGCAGCTATTTCACTCACCATATTACATCTGCTACTTTCAGAGCTCAAGGAATACTGTATTGAATAACTGAATTTATGCTTATCAGATACAACTAATATCACTAATTTTAGGATCATCTTACATGTGTTATCTTAGTGCGGTAATAAGATCATGGTCATCCTGAACGTGGAAACAATCACCTGCTTTTACTGCTGACTAACAGAATGACCAAACGAAGAAATGGGTGTCCCAACTAATTTTCACACTTAATCCGAAAGCCTTTGCTCTTTTCCTCCCTCTAGAGTTAAAAAAGGAAGGAAGATCCTAGCACCTGGGAGGCCGAGGCAGGTGGATTGCCTAAGTGGGGTCCTCAGACTTTTTAAACAGGGGGCCAGTTCACTGTCCCTCAGACCATTGGAGGGCTGGACTGCGGGCCCCAGGACAAGTTGACTGCTAAGCAGGACAAGCAGAGGCAGCAAAAACACCCAGCGGGCCAGATAAGCGTCCTAGGCCGGCTGCATGTGGCCCACGGGCCATAGTTTGAGGACACCTGAAAGCTCACAAATTCGAGACCAGCCTGAACCAGAGTGAGACCTCATCTCTAAAAATAGCCTGTAGTCCCAGCTACTTGGGAGGCTGGGGCAAGAGAATTGCTTGAGCCCAAAGTTTGAGGTTGCTGTGAGCTATGGCATCATAGCTCCATCGAGGGCAACAAAGTGAGACTTTGTCTCCAAAAAAAGAGAAGATTAGGAAAATAATACTGTCAATTATAAGCACTAGTTTTGGATGCTTTTGTAATATTTATTATCTGGTTTAATGCAAACAAAAATCCTTGTAAGTAGAAATTTTCGTATTTTCTTCAATGATTCAACTAGTCAGTAAATGTCTATTCCTTACCTGCTATAATCATGCATGGTGTTATGCACCTGAGATATTACATGTGCAAATCACTTTGTCCCTACTCACATGAGAGCACTGTCACCAGGTCCCCGACTCTGGACCATTATCTTACCGTATATCAGAGTTGGGGACCTGAGACAGTGTCTCAGTGGGTGACATACATATTTAACAAATAATATACAAAATTCATAAAATTGTCATTGCAGTAACTGTTAAATAATGACATACATGAAACTAGAAAAAGTTAGAAAAGATGGGTGATTGGGTTCAAATCTAAAGTATGTTGCTCAAAAGCTGAGAGAGGATGACTGAGCTGAGACTGAAGGATTAACCATATGGGAGTGGTTAAGCCTCCGGGAAAGAACATGTGCAAAAACCTTAGCAGAAGCAAGTTGGAAACCAGTACATTTTTTATTCTCTGGAAGATTTTGTGTAAGACTGGCATGACTTTTCCTTAAATATTTGTAAGAAGTCATTAGTGAAGACTATGAGCCTGGGGTATCTTTGTGGACTAGATTTTAATTACGGGTTCAGTGCTCATGTTAATAGATTTGGGAGTATTCAAGAGTCATCCTTTTTGATCAATTGTGTTTTCTAAGAAATTAGTAAATTTCTTTTAAGGCTTTTTATTTTAAAAAGCTTTTAATGTATTGGCATGAATTACTTTATAATACTGTCTTATGATCGTTTCTAGTATCTATAGGATACATGAATTTCCCTTTTTTATTCTTGTAATCAATAGCCCTTGCCTTCTGTATTTTTAAATCCACCTTGCTGAGAGTTTATCAGTTTTGTTTGTCTACAAAATACTTTGTACTGTCTTATATTTTCTATCATTTTTGTTTTCATTTTATTAATATCTGCTAATCTATTTCTGTTGTTTATTGCTTCTTTGGCTTCTTGTGCATGTTTTTCTTTTTTTAGTTTATTTTTGATTAGCAATGTGTATGAAAAATGATGTAAATAAATTAGACTTTAGGTGACATTATCTCCTTTCTCCAGAGAGGGTTTATGTTGTTCCTGACCAGTGCCTAGGTTCACTAGCTGCCCCAGAGGACATTAACTGAATTTTAAGAATTGAATTGATACCAGCATGGGTATATTTCCAGCTTATTCTAACTCCTGTGTTGCAGCCTCCCATCATCCCAAGCCAAAGTGTGATAATTACCCAGTTTCTCCCTCATTGTTCTCCTAACCCTGAAGCATTGTCATAAATGTTTCTTAGATTTTTTTGCCTCTGACCTTCCTCTCGCAGAATTCATAGATCCCTAGAGACTCAAGCAGTAGACCCAAATACTGGGCTTGTCTCTCTGGGCTTTCTTTTCTTGCCCAAATCCTACCCTTAATTTTTCTCTACCTTTTTGTTCCTGTGTTGCCTTGAAGATTATTTTATTAATTTTTAAATTTTTTTTTCTAGATGTCACAATTGGGAAGTTAGATTAATGTCTTTATCTATCACTGCTGGAAGTGAAAATTCTAAGGTCTATTTTTATTTTCTTCTCAATTGCTTAAAAAATGACCATTTTTTAATTGGTTATTCCTCTTAGTATTATATGGTATGCACTTCCTGTCCTCAACTATTCTTGCCATATTTCTATCTTGCAAATACTTTAAAATTTCCTAGAATTAAAATTTCTTGCTTTAAGCCTTTTTCAAATCATGAACAGAATATAAGTTCCATGAAAGCAGGGAATTTGATTCAATAATATTTAACTAGCACTTCAAATGGTGCTTTGCACTTAGCTCTCAATAAGTATTTTTGTAATGGAATAAATAAAGAAATTGGAGTTGAATCCTTGACATCAAAGAAGAGGACCATGAATTTTTTTATTCATTTGCCACATGATTAACTTATTTCTTTTCTGAATATGTAACTGTATGTAACTTGTAGCCAATGTGTAAGGAACATTTACATGATGTGTTGTATAGAGTAGGCAAGTAGGCATTCCCCAAAGCAGCACTTACATTCTGAGTAGATTTACCTTTGCTCCCTCCCCCTAGTCAAAGACTGGGCTCCATGGCAGTGTAGAGTTCTTGATTTTCACTTCTCTTGATGTTTGATTAGGCAATGAATGTTGCTAGCCTGTCATGGTGTCAACTTTGTCCCCTCTGCCCATATACGGTAAGATAATGGCCCAGAGTCTGGGACCTGGTGACAGTGCTAAGTTCAAGTTCTGCCTCTTTGTACTCAAGTTTTGAGAGCAAGTATTCTAAACTCCCTGAGCTCCAGTTTTTCTTGTAGGTAAAATGGATATAATAATAGTATCTAATCCTCAAAGTTAGTGATAGGATTAAATGAGATCATCTGTACTGAGCACTTAGCACTGTGACTGGCCCATACAGAGCTCTCCATATACATTAGTATTGTTTTTATACAAAAATCTTCTTTCTTTCTGAGACATGATCTCACTCTGTCAGCCAGGCTAGAATATAGTGGTATCACAGCTCCCTGTAAACTCCAACTTCTGAGCTCAGGGGATCTTCCTACAGAAGTCACTATGCCCAGCTAATTTTTCTACACATATGTAATTGTGTGTGTGTATATATGTATAATGCCATGGAATCCGCCTATCCCACCAAGGACCTCAGACTCCTGAGTTCAGGCGATCCTCCCACCTCAGCCTCCCAAGTAGCTAGAACTACAGGAATTTTTCTATTTTTTGTAGAGACAGGGTCTCGCTTTTGCTCAGACTTGTCTCCAACTCCTAGCTTCAAGCATTCCTCCTTCATTGGCCTACCAGAGTATTAGGATTACAGGGGTGAGCCACGGTGCCTGGCCAAAATCCTCTCTTTATAAAGCTTGGATGTATTTTAAACAACTTAAACACAAAGTTGTTATATTATAGTAATTAAGAACCTATTTATTTCAGACATAAGGTTTATTTCTAGATGAAAATCTTTGCTGTGATTAAAGAGCATCTTACAGTGCTATTCCTTGTCCCCTGACATGAATACAATTTCTGTGCTCTACTGTAACAGACTGACCTCATTGTCCGCCTACTCGGCCTGCCTGGGATATGTGAACTATGCCAAGCCTCCCTCACCTATGAATACTTCCTCACACTGCTCCCCTGCATTTCTCTCCCACAACATATTTGAGACGGTTATCACAATACTCATGGACATATTCCTTTCTTTCTTCCTTTTCAATAAGAATTCTCAATTGTGCAGACTCAGGATTGAGACCCATCAAGATGCCTTAATACACACACACACATTCGCACACACACACTCATTCACAATCAGATAATTCTTGGTGTGTTTTCCAGAGCAGTAAGGATCTAAGCGCTCTTATAAATGTAGGATAGACCCCCAAAATGTTTGAAGGGTCATATAGTATTCTCATTCATTTGTAGAAAAAATTTAGGAGACAAAGGAAACATTATGTGGGGTTTTCTGTTCTCCTGCTGGATGGCCTGCTGATGATTGAAGAGCCATGTATTGCCTCGTCCTGACTCTGCCTTTCCCCATTGGATCTCTGTGAGAGTCACGTGCTTTGGGCATTTCTGAAAAGAGTCTTCTGAGGCTTCTGCATCTCATCTGGGTCTGCTGAATCCCACCTAGAACCGTGTTGAGCTCTCATCTATCGGGATGAGCAACAGATTCTTGGGCACCTGGAAACTCGTCTCTAGCGAGCGCTTTGATGATTACATGAAAGCTCTGGGTAAGAAATGCTCTTTGTTTTCTGGCTGAGCAGATCCTTTGTGAGAAAGCTACAGGCCATTTTCTACTAGTATCCTTAACAAAAGACTGCAAAAGTTGGTATAGGCTGAAATACCAACCTCTTCTGGGATTAATCTTTCAGACGATTTCTTTGCATTTTATTTGTGGCAATTTTAATAGATTATCACTTCAATAAGAGTGGCTTAAATGCATAGACATAGAACTCCCACTGATTTCAAAGGCAGTTTCATATCAAAAAAGTTACGGTCACATACCTGGAGTAAAGACATTTTAGACAACCCTTTCTCTGGCTTTCCCGAGAGCTAGTTTTATGGCAACTAAAGTGCTCATAAAAATAAGAAGTTGAATATATTCCAGATATAGACAACCTCAATGTAAAATTCAGTTTTCAGCTAAACTAAAAGTTTTCCCTCTCTCTACTTCAGGTTGTCCTTTATTACACAATCATGCAGATACAGAGAGTTTGAAAGACAAAAATGCTTCCTAAAATAGGATGTTCCTAAAATAGTCCAGGGAAGTTACTGAGAAAAATAAACTAGGGTTGCGGTAGTAAATTCAAACTCAGCTTACCAATTTCAGATATTCTTGGAGTCAGAGCAGTGAATGGAGATGGAAAACCCAGTCATTAGTTCAACTAATTTATGTTTCTAGAGAATGTTCCATAGATATGAATATAATAGATGGAAGGAGACTTTGGAAATTTCCAGAGCTATTAATAGAGTGATGCCAATGACCTCAGGTTGCCATGTTTGTTGAAGTGTCCCATAACTTTAACTATTTAGAAAGCTTGCACAAAAGGTTCTATTTTCAGGTAAAATGAGCAAAGTTGTGTCACTGTCGTCTGGTAAATTATAAGAACTTATGAGGATAAATCTATACTATGAGCTTGGTTAGATTTGAAGACTTAACAGCTGGAGAAGAAGCAAATTAAAGGAACATCGCTATGAGGAATGCTTTAATTCTGTTGTTTTCAATCTTTAGAGTGCATAAGAACGCCCTGGGGTTTGGTAAGTGTGGATTCTCAGGTTCCACCAGAGATTATGATTTAGTTTGAAAAGTAAATCCAAGCATTGGGAATTCCAGCTGGAACCTTATGAAATTAGTCTATCTTTCATGTATTGTGTATTTAAATATGTCCTTTTCTATCTATTTCTATAGTCTTGGTAATAATAATAGTAATAAAACTTAAGGGTCTAATTTTGTTTTATTTTTCAAATGTAGAAAAGTCTTAAAAATTATTTTACGTATGTAAGCTCTTTTGTAATTGTACAGCTCTCAAAGGTTTTTCCTAGCAGTTAAACACAGGAGCCACAAAATATCAGAGATGAGATTCTGTCAAAGATAGAAAGGAGTTCTTCCCCATATTCATAATATGTTACAGACCAAAAAATATCATGAAATAGTGTGTATATATTATGTTCTCATTTTTCAGTGTATGTTGATAGTATTTGCATGCACAAATTAAAATATTTGGGAAGATTTTCATACAAATCAATAACTAGTAACTTCCAATAGGGAATAGAATTGGATGTGGTAAAAGTGGATGACGTACACTATTTTAGCCAAACACTTTCCCCTTGAAAATCTGCACACATTACTTTTGTAATAACAAAACCTAAAATGTTTGAGCCCTGAATATGTATTTCCACTGGATAAGGAGGCCCTTGGTAGTAATATCACCTGCCATCTACACACTTAAGGCACCCCTGAGCATCAGTGTGTCCACCATAGACTGACTCTACAGGGACACTCTCAGGCAATATAATTCTAACACTATCTCGATTTTCAGGTGTGGGGTTAGCCACCAGGAAACTGGGAAACTTGGCCAAACCCAGGGTGATCATCAGCAAAAAAGGGGATATTATAACCATACGAACTGAAAGCACCTTTAAAAATACAGAGATCTCCTTCAAGCTAGGCCAGGAATTTGAAGAAACCACTGCTGACAACAGGAAAACCAAGGTAATCTTTCATGTTTTTCTTTAAAGTTGGCCCAGTCAACTGTTTGAGAGAGAGGATTATTTCTGCTAGTGTTTAAAAGGGTAGACACCATTCTGTTGAACATGAATGTGTCTCATGAGACATCCATTATGAAAATGGTTCATAATTATGAATGAACTGCTTCTTTAATCAACCAAAGTCTAGGCCAATCAATTACATGAATTTGTCTTTGCAGAGCATTGTGACCTTGGAGAGAGGTTCATTAAACCAAGTACAGAAATGGGATGGCAAAGAGACAACCATAAAAAGGAAATTGATGAATGGGAAAATGGTAGTGGTAAGAGTATTCTTCCTTCTAAATATAGAAATAATGTTATATGAGAAATTTCTTATGTTATTTTCAAAATTCTCTATGTTCTTTGGAATATAAATGGGTAAAAATGACTAAGAATAGAGTCAGAGTTAATGCTTGAATTATACATAAAAATTCTTCTTCAAGTCTTTAAATATGGTCCAAGATTTTAGAAATAAAAAAAAAAAAGCCAGTTTATCTTTTTTAGAAATAAGAATACCTAAAAATGATAGCAAAGTTAAAGAAAGTTTGGGTAAATCTCACTACTTTGGACTCACAAAGATAAAAGCAAGTCTAGATTTTAAAAGCAAAATACACTCTAAAAAGTTCAAGTGCAGATATTTGTAGGTATCTAACCATTTTGCTTTCAAAATGCTGTAGTAACTTAGATTAGACCATGTCAACAATGCAAGCTGGGTTCAATAGATGAGAATGATGACAAAGGTTACATTTAGTTACCTCTAACAATTTTTTTTTTAAGGTTGAGGTGTTGAGTTTACTATAGAACACATACATTGACTATCAGTAAATTCATGTAATGTTTTGAAAGTCTTTTTCTTTAGTACGTTGGTTCTTAGCCCTTGCTGCACAATAGATCTAACTGGGGATTAAATACCAATATGGAGGCCCCAACACAGCTCAACTGAATGCAAATTTCTTGGAGGAAGAGAAGCCATCAGTATATTTAAGTGTTCACCAGATAGTGCAAATGTGCAGATAGTTTTGAAAACTGCTGTTTTAGTAGATTTCAATTACATTTGAAGTATGCATAAAAACTTGCCATTAAAAAATTCCTTTACAGAAATATAGATCAACTTTTAAACTATGAAAATATCAACTTTTTCACTATTATAATATTTCTCCTATTTCAGTGGTCATAATTCTGAGGTAGTAGAGACTGATGATGTTTTATTGCTAAGTTAATCTTATGAGCTTATTTTGAATTTCTATTTTTATCACAAATCTGACATTCTCTGGTTTGAGTTGTTGGAGATACTCAATTGATCTCTCTCTTTTTCAAGGAATGTATGATGAAGGGCGTGGTCTGCACCAGAATCTATGAGAAGGTCTGAGAAAATAATTTTCTCGTTGAAGTGGTTTTGTTCATTTAATGTTGGAAATCGGTTACTTCTATTAGCAAGACCTGAATGCAGATGTTTGTTTTGTTTTTGTCTTAATACAATAGGCAAAGGCCTAAACTGAAGATTAATCTAAAATTCAATGTTATTTAAGCACTTGTAATTTGCATGTATGTCATTATTATACATGTATCAAAGTACATGTTGACCAAACCTAAACAGCTGATAATGTCATCTAATTAACTTTGAAATTCTAACTATGTTGTACTTTGCATGCTGGAAATGATAATGAAATAGAAATAATGGCTTAGTAAAGGGGCCATCATAAAAGTATGATGAAGGTAGCAAACTCAAACGCCATCAGGATCCAGGATCCAGCTAAGGGAGGAGCATCACCAATGAGACAGTCCAAGAGAAGCAGCTATTTTAAATTGAAGAGTTACAATAACAGCTAAAAGAGCAGCCTTTGCTCTACTCCAGTCATTTTTTAATTGATTAATAATTTATAGACAGTGAATGAACAAATATTAAGGCTGGAGTTCAATAAATTGTGACAAATATATGTACTCATATAGCTCACATCCCAATCAAGATAAAAAATATTTTCTTAGTACTCCTTAAGTATTTCTTAATACTCCTTCCCAGTTAATATCCCACTCTGTTTCACTTCCAGGAAAAACAAGTAGTGAGTTGGCTTCCATCACTATAGATTAGTTTTGGTTGTTCATGTAAATGGACTTACATATTATATCTTCTTGTCTGTTTGCCTCTTTAAGAATGTTCTGAGACTCATCCATATCATTGCATGTAGCAGTACTTTGTTCCTTTTTACTACCAAGTACTATTTACCAATTCTTCTGTTAGGACAATTGGACTGTTTACAATATTTGGTTATTATCAATAAAATAGCTATAAGACTTTATAGGCCTATAACTTCATTTCTTTTGAATAAATAACTAGTCATAGGATTACTGGGGTCAATATTTTGGGGGTTTTTTTTTAGAGACACAGTCTCACTTTGTCACCCTTGGTAGAGTGCTGTAATGTCACAGCTCACAATAAACCTCAGCTCTTGGGCTCAGGCAATTCTCTTGCCTCAGCCTCTTGAGTAGCTGGGACTACAGGCGCCCACTACAATGCCCACTTATTTTATTGTTGCAGTTTGGCCGGGCCCGGGTTTGAACCTGCCACCCTTGGTATATGGAGCGGTACCCTACTCCCTGAGCTGCATGTATCACCTGGGGTGGGGTGGGGGGGTCAATGATTTTTGACAAGCATGAAAAGTGAACCACAGTGCCCAAGTAATAGGGAAACTATTTCAGATGGATTACCTGACTGAGCAAATGAGAAAATGGGTTGATGTTGATGGGAGCCAGAATGTTCACTGTTGAAAAGGAACCTACAAATAGGGAGCAAGGGAAGGCAAGAAAGAATCATGTGGGAATGGAATGAAATTGATGTACAATCACGGGTTCTAAGGCATAGAGAAGTATGTGCATATGTATGTGTAATTAGACATGGATGCCTGCAAGCATATATGCCTGTGATGTTTACATGTATTTATGTGTTTATAACACACATGCATTTCTTAGCTCTATGTATATTTCTTAGCTCTAAAGAGCTTACAAGCAAAGAGGAATGAGCATACCTAGCACCCCATATCTGTCTTAAAATTAAAAAAAAAATACATGACAACTAAATGTAGTGATACAAGACTGGATCCTATACTAGAAATAAAATATATATTTCAAAAGGGCAGTAATATATTGATTGAAAGATTGGAATATAGATGGTAGGTCACATAAAAAGCTTGCTGTAATTAAGTAAAAGAATATTCCTATTCTTGAAAAATACACACTGAAGTATTTTGAGATAATTGGACCTTATGTATGCAATTTACTCTCAAAAAATTCAAGAACAAATATTTGTGGTGTAAAAGTACACACATCCAGAAATACAGAAAGAACAGGGTGGCACCTGTGGCTCAAAGAGTAGGGTGCCGACCTCATATGCCAGAGGTGGTGGGTTCAAACCCAGCCCTGGCCAAAAACTGCAGAAATATAGAAAGAGCAAATGAGAAAAATTTGAATAATAGACAAATCTAAGTGAAAGGTATATGTTTTATTTAGTCTGATTCTTGCAACCATTATGTACATTGAAAATTATTTCCAAACATGATTTTTTTTAAAGAAAATTGCCCTTGGTGAACTCTTCAGCCTATAGGCATCTGTATTGTTTTGTTTTGTTTTGATTTTTGTTTTTGTCTCCAGGCAGTTAAACCCATAAAGGAAGAATTTTAAAGCTAGGTTGCTATTTTTAGATGTGTGCAGCAATATAACTTGTTATATAATATATTTCTCGGTAAATATAATTGCTTTATTATACAAAAGTCACGAGTACTTTTTCTTTCATAACATGAAAAGTAGAGCTACACTGATAATAAAAAAGACAAAAAATCATTTCAGCAGATGGCACACGTTATGAGATTTGTACAAGATTTTCAACCAACCATAGACAGGGAAAAATTTAAAAAAGCAAGATGTAAGGTCTTAGCCCATTCAGGCTGCTATAGCAAAATACCAGAAAATGTTTAGTTTCTAAACAACAGAAATATATTTCTCTCAGTTTTGGAGATAGACAAGATCAAGGCATGGCAGATGTTAGTGTCTGCTGAGGGCCTGTTTCCTGGTCCACAGATGGCATCTTATGGCTGCTTCTCATGTGGTTGAAGGAAAACAGGCATCCTTGGGCCTCTCTTGTAAGGACACTAGTCCCATTCATGAAGGCTCCACTCTTGTGGCATAATTACTTCTCTAAAGACCCTACATTCTGATATCCTCAACTTGGAGGGTAGGCCTTCAACATCTGAATTTTATGGGGAGACAAACATTCATACACTTGAATTCTGTAATATACAAAAATAGTCTCAAAATATAAAATTGATTCTCTACATCTTTTTAATATAACATAGTAGTAAAGAACAGTCATACAACCTAGGTTCAAATTTCAGTTTGCTACTAATTAGCTATCTGTCATTGGGTAAGCCGCTTAACCTCTCTGACCCTAAGTTCCTTTCTTAGTGAAAATGGGACTACTAGTAAAGCAGACCTCAAAAAGTTGTCAAAAACAAACAAGTTAATATATGCAACATGCTTAGAACAGGGCTTGGCATAGGAAAAGCATCACAGAAGTGTCTTCTGTTACTTACCACGAAATGTATATTATTTTCAAATAGATCATTTTATTATTATAGCTCAAAATGAAGAGAGTGTCACAAGATTTCACAGCTGTTTATGTTTTAAGTGATTTATATAGCAAGTGAAAAAAATTATTAAGAATATTATCTATGCTAACATAAAAACAATCAACATCAAACCTTTCAAGATTAAACCAGGAAGAAGTAGAACTCTGAAACAGATCTATAACAAGTAGCAAGATTAAATCATGCTAAATAAAGTAATCTGGATTCACAACTAAGTTCTAATGAAAATATGAAGAAGAAATAGTGCCAATTCCCCAGATATTGTTCCAAAAAATTAGGAGGAGACAATTCTCCCCTATTCATGTTATGAGGGCAGTGTTGCCTTGATACCAAAACCAGACAAAGACACAACAAGTAAAGTACAGACCAATATTCCTCATGAACATGGATACAGAAATTCTCAACAAAGTACTAGAAAATTGAATCCAAAGGGCACATCAAAAAGACAATACTACATACACATGATCAAGTGGGCTTTATACCAGGGATGCAAGGATAATTCAGCATAAGCAAATCAATAGATGTGACACATCACATAAAAAGAATTAAGGACAAAAACCATATGATCATCTTAACAGTGAAGAAAAAGCACTCAATACAATTTAATATACCTTTATGATAAAAATTCTGAACAACTAAGCATTGAAGAAAAATACCTTAAAATGATAAAGGCATACATACAAAAAACCCACAGCCAACATCAAATGTAACAGGGAAAAGTTGAAACATTCCTTCTAAGAACTGAAAAAGACAGAAGGATTACTGTCTTTTATTCAACAAGTACTAGAAGTTTCCACCTGAGCTATCAGGCAAGAAAAAATAAATACAAGGTATCCAAATTGGAAAAGAGGAAGTTGAGTTGTCCTTGTTCACTGATATGATCTTTTATCAAGAAAACCCTATAGATTCTATCCAAAAACCTGTAGATTGAAAGGGTTTCAAAGTACAAAGTTTCGGATACAAAATCAATATACAGAAATCAGTAGCATTTCTAAATACCAACAATGATCTAACTGAGAATGAAAGCAAAAGAGAAATATAAGTTATAATAATTGGGAGAAATGCCTAAGAATTTATTTAATGAAGGTGTTAAAAGCAATCTCAAGCAAAAAAAAAAAAAAAAGGAGGCATAACATTGTCTGACTTCTAATTATACTAAATGGCTATAGTAACCAAAACAGCATGGTACTGTTATAAAAATAGACACATATCAGTGGAACAGAATAGATAACCCAGACATAAACCCTATATTTAAAGCTGACTAATGTTTGAAAAAGTTGACAATAATGTACACTGGAGAAAGTATACTCTTTTAAATAAATGGTACTGAGGAAATAAGTCTTCTGGACATGGGTTTAGGCACAGAATACATGACTAAGACTTCAAAAGCACTGGCAACAAAAACAAAATAAACAAATAGGACTTAAACCACAGAGCTTCTGCATAGTGAAAGAAATAATCAACATGGTGTACAGACAATGCATAGAATGGAAGAAAACATGTGTAAATCATACATACAACAGAGAACTAACACCCAGAATGTATAAGGAACTCAAACAAGTCAGCAAGAAAAACCAGTTAACCTCAATACAAAGTGGACTAAAGACATGAACTGAGATGATATACAAATGGCCAACCAATATATGAAAAAATGCTCAACATCACTAATCATTAGAGAAATGCAATTTAAAACCATAATAAGATATCATCTTTCAATAACTAGAATGGCTGT